TATTAGCTGGACGTATTGCTGTCAGTAATTTACACAAAGAAACAAAAGCTTTATTTAGTGGTTTGTATTTGATATTTGTTTATTTTTCGAATAAATTCAATTTTATATAAAAATTATTCTTGCAGAAGTTATGACTGATTTGTATAATCATAAAAATCCTGATTTGAATACAGATGCACCAATTATTTCAGAAGAAACATACAATATTGTTATGGCTAATGCAGAAGTATGAAAAAAAAGAAATCTTCTATTTATTATTGATTGCATTTCGTTTTCTAGAAACTCAATGCAGCTGTCAAACATGAACGTGATATTGATTTCAATTATTTTGACTTTAAAGTAAACAGCAAACGAGGGAATACATAAAATTGTCAGACGCCGTTTGAATTCATATTATGACCATGAGTAATTCTTTGTGAAACAAAGAAAAGTCAGATTAATTTACGCGTATGAACGTTGCACTAAATTCTTTCGCACGAAGAAGGCATTTTCGAAAACAAAAATTTAAAATCTGAAATTTTGCATACAGGTAGATGACTCACTCCTATACCTGTTTAGTTTGAAGATACTGTCAATCGATAGAGCTTAGAAATCGTCATTCAGAAGGTCCCACTCTAAGCCATTTTCTTTAAAAAATCTTTGATAAAAGAATCGAATACTATTTTTACCGGTCCACTCCTTGATTTACTTTGGGCCTATCTACCTTATCGTCACTTTCGCCATTGTTAGAAGTCAAACGTGTGAAAGGTCAAGAGTCAAGGATCGCATCTGATCGTAAAACTTAGATGTCCAGTATCATATTTTGAAATAACGGTGTGTAGGTTCGACAGTATACGAAAAAGACAAAGAGAGTTTGCTTGAAAAAATCTGATATTGGACGTCTAAGTTTCATTATTATATGTGACTCTTGACCTTTCATATGTTCGACCTCTAACAATGCCCGAAGTGATGTCACGATAGATAGCTCTAAAACAAGTCAAAGAGTGGTTTATTATTATGAGGTATTCATTTTTCTCGCGAAAAATTGGCTCAGAGTGGGGTCTCTTGAATGAAAAATTTTAAGTTGTATCGATTGATAATATCTTCGAACTAAACGGGGTTTGAGGTGAGTTAGAGCGTATTTCACTAACATCTCTTGGAAATTGAGTATCTCGAGAAAGACATGTTCATTTTCATTGAAACTTTTAGATAGCGATATACCGATCCCTAGAACATGATATCAGAAATGATCTTTTTTTCCTTAGTAAGAGTTTAATTCTCTGTGAATTATCTATATCAGCCATGACCACTTTCTCTGGCTCTGGCCAAAGATGTAGTCGAAATTCATGAAAGAAAAAAAACAAAGCTTTCGTAATCTTTAGTTTTTTTCGCACAATTCTCACTGGTTCTGACATTTGTGTTTTGCATCAGGCAAAACCTAAGAATAGATTGATAAAGGACATTCAAAAGTAATCACAAATGATGTGAACAACCGCCAGAAGTTCGGTAGTTTTCAATACTGCGCATGTGTTTTTATGAGCAGGGACAAAGTAATTCCTTAAATTTCTAACCGGAGATTACAGTATTGATAATTATTGGACTCCTAGCGATTCTTCACAGCAGTTTTGAACGCTCTTTCTGAACCTGTCCTCGGATTTTTATCTAATGCAAAACACAGATCTCAGAATCAGTAGAAAAAAGTAAAAATCGCGAATTTTTGACCATTCCGAAATGTTTCTTTTGTATTTCATGAATTTCGACTATAGCTTCGGATAGAGTAAGAAAAACTGACTATGGCTAATATAAACAATCTGCAAACAACTAAGTTCTTAAAAGAAGAAAAAAAGTCATGTTTGATATCATTTTTGAGGAATCGATGAATTCTTTGATTATTAAATATACTTATAGACAAGATTTTAGATAAAATCTTTTTGTTTTTCTAAAACGCTTGTTCTCAATAAAAAAAAAGTTCGCGTACCGTTAAGAAGTCTGCACTAGTAAACGATAATCAGAAATTGTTGAGGCTTATGTTAATTTCAAAAAGACCTACTCAGAGCCATAATATGAAGTGAAACGCCAGCTAATCTTTGAATAAGTTGGCTCGTTACTTAAATGAATATTTATTATTTTCATTATTTTTAGACACTCGAATGTTCATATTTACGTCGTATAAATAATGTTATTGTTGAACGACCACAACATATGTTTATGCGGGTAGCTGTTGGTATTCATGGTGAAAATATTGATGATGCTATTGAAACATATAATTTATTATCAGAAAAATGGTTTACACATGCAATACCAACACTTTTTAATGCTGGTATATCAATTTATTCTTTTTTTTCTTTATTTTCTTTATTTATGTTTAGGTACCAGAAACGCACAAATGGCATCATGTTATTTATTAACAATGTGTGATGATAGTATTGAAGCTATTTCTGAAACATTACGTCGATGTACAATTATTTCACGAAATACTAGTGATATTGGAGTTGCTATTAGTTGTATTCAAGCTAATGGATCATACATTGAAGAAGTAAGACTTTACTATAATATTAATATATTTTTAGAATAATTTTTTTGTAATTTTTAGACACATGGTCGTTCCATTGGTATTTTACCAATGATGCGTGTATTTAATAATATAGCTCGATATGTTATTCAAGGTAAAAGACATATAGAAAAAAAGAAGAGTTCAGTTTTAATAAAATCTTGTTTATTTTAGGTGATAGACGACCTGGTATGAGTTGAATTTCATATTTTTTTCTAAGATTCTTCTACTTTTTTTTTCTTCAATTATTTTCATAATAGTTGCTTATGCACTTTATTTGGAACCATGGCATGTTGATATATTTCAATTTTTGAATGCAAGAAAAAATATACGTGTTGAAGAAAAACGTGCATGTGATATATTTCCAGCATTATAGATACCAGATTTATTTATGCGTCGTGTTGAAGCTAATGATAAATGGACATTAACCCAGGTCCAATAAAACGGCGTCGTAAACGGCCTGAAACGGCGATTAACGATGTAAAGCGTCGATAAACGGCACCGTAATCCGTCATACCAGATTACGGAAGCAAAACCGGAAAAAAACGACCGTCGTTTTCTAGCGATAGACGATGGTCGTAATACGGTATGACGGATTACGGCGAAATAAGGCCAAAATTACTGCAGTAATTCGCCGTTTTATAGTCGTTTCAGGCCGGATACGACGCCGTTTCCGACGGTCGGAATGATCCACCTGGGACATGGTGCTTGATTTATGTCTTCATCGTCATTTTGGTGCAATGATGACTTTCATTCTTGATACGTCACTTCACGTGTCAAGATAAACAATTTTTTTTTATCTAGTGTTTAAAGAAATTTTTAAAATAAACTTTTTACAGTATTATATTTAAACGACATAAGTTTTGTTTTATTTTCCGAAGAATTCAAAATAACAACATCAAGAAAAAAAAAAGAAAAATTAAAAGGAAATGAATTCTTTTTTTTTCTGCATTGTGCGAGACTCATATTTTTATCACAACAATAGCAACAACGAAAAAAAGAAAAAAAGCTTAATTAAATAAAGATAAACATCTGACGAAAAAAAATTTTCAATTGATTATCTAATTTAAGTGGGCCTCCCTCAGAAAATCTAATTTTCCTAAGAAAAGTCAAAGTCGAATTTTTATCATAGGAAGATACAACGTGATCTCCTCTTTGAGAATATATATGGTTTTTCTCAAAACGAATTGATTTTGACGGACTTATCGGCTGAAATTTGGGCCCTACTGTCATTTTTTTGGCAAAATTTTCACGGCTTTTTTAAAAGTTTTTCAGCTTTTGAAAGAATGCCTTTCCATTGGCATCAGCATTGAATAAAGGTTTTTTATATTAATCATTAAGAGCCTACTAATGCTTGAGATAAAGATCACATATTTATAGGCTGTCCGAAACATTGATGTATAATTTGCGTGTATTTCGCAAAAATCGATTTCTAAAACTTTTTTAGCGTATTTCTCAAAATCATTTTTTTCGATCGTACCGTTTACGCGGGCAAGGATTTCTTAATAACGACTCAATATAGAAGTGATAATTTTTTTTTGTTGAATAGAGGATATTGCCTAGACGAAATTAAAATTTCAATTTTGACTAGGCAAATTTTAAATTTGACTGAATTTTAATTTTGACGACAACGTATGTATATATATTCTATTGAATAGATTCACGAATGGTGCATTTTACAGTTTGAAATTTTCCCGATCGGTCTATTGTTATTATCTCAACAATCATAATTCCAACCCATAATACCGCAAATATCGGTGGAATTAAAATGCAAAAACTAAAATCAAGTGAAGATATACATGCTAATTCATTATTTTTTATAAAACGAGGTATTTTAAATTTTATTTTTGCTAAAATATTCAACATAAATTTTTTACTATAAAATTTATATTATCATTTAAGATGGTCGAAAAAAATATGCTATGTTTGATAAGATTAAATCACGTATATCAAAACTTAGTGATGGCCTTGATCTTAACTATGTTGATCTAGTATGTAGAAAAATTTTTATTGTTTTATATGGTAAATATCTTGATATATATTAGGCAGCTTTTGCTACAGAAATTTTCAGCTATCTTCATCACAGTAAATAATTTGAAAGACAACCTTTTTTATTTTGATTGATTACTTTTTTCCGTAGATATTACAACAGTTGAAGTTGATAATTTAGCAGCACAAAAAGCTGCTTCAATGACATTCAACCATCCTCACTATGGTATATTAGCTGGACGTATTGCTGTCAGTAATTTACACAAAGAAACAAAAGCTTTATTTAGTGGTTTGTATTTGATATTTGTTTATTTTTCGAATAAATTCAATTTTATATAAAAATTATTCTTGCAGAAGTTATGACTGATTTGTATAATCATAAAAATCCTGATTTGAATACAGATGCACCAATTATTTCAGAAGAAACATACAATATTGTTATGGCTAATGCAGAAGTATGAAAAAAAAGAAATCTTCTATTTATTATTGATTGCATTTCGTTTTCTAGAAACTCAATGCAGCTGTCAAACATGAACGTGATATTGATTTCAATTATTTTGACTTTAAAGTAAACAGCAAACGAGGGAATACATAAAATTGTCAGACGCCGTTTGAATTCATATTATGACCATGAGTAATTCTTTGTGAAACTTAGAAAAGTCTAAACGATTTAGGCGTATGATCGTTGCACAAAATTTTTTTAGTACGACGAAGGTATTTTTGAAAAATCTGAAAAGAAGAATTTAAAATCTGAAATTTTTCATAGAGCTAGATTTATTAGCTATGAAATAGTTCTGAAAGTTTTAATGAAAAACAATGAGTATTAGTAACATACGCTCTGACCAATTCCAATCCCCCGTTCAGTTCGAAGATATTATTAAAAGATAGATCTTAGAATTCTTCAATCAGGAGACTCCACTCTAAGCGATTTTCTTTAAAATATGTTTGATAAAAGAATCAAATACCATTTTTATGGATCCACTCTAAGGTAATTTTTCGCGAGAAAATGAATAATATGTAATAATAAACTACTCTTTGATTTATTTTAGATCTATCTACTGTGACATCACATTCGTCATTGTTAGAGGTGTCAAACGTGAGAGATCAAGGGTCACACCTCATAGTAAAACTTAGAGTTAAATTGAAACGTTCAATATCAGACTTTTGAAATAATCATGCGTAGATCCGATCGTTTACAAAAAAAAAGATAGTTTGCTTGAAAAAAAATCTGATGTTGGACATCTCAAATTAATTCTAAGCTTTACTATCAGGTGGGACCATTGACCACTGACCTTTTACATATGACCTCTAACAATGGTGAAAGTGATGTAACAGTAGAAAGGTCTAAAATAAAAATCAAAGAGTGGTTTATTATTATGAGTTATTTTTTTTCTTCGGAAAGATTGATTTAGAGTGAGTTGGAGTGAACCCATGAAAATGGCATTTGATTCTTTTATCATACATATTTTAAAGGAAATCGCTTAGAGTGGGGTCTCACGAGTGAAAAATTCTAAAGTCTATTGATGGATAATATCTTCGAGCTAAACGGGGATTGAAGTGGGTTAGAGTGTATTTTAGTAATACTTCAAAAAGAATATGCTTTTGTAAAAAAAAAACAACTGCTGTTTACTATTGGAGGACACAATGATCTAGTCTACTTGGAAATTGAGTATCTCGAGAAAGACATGTTCATTTTCATTGAAACTATTAGATAGAAATATACCAATGCCCAGAACATGATGTTAAAAAATGATATTTTTTCATTTTTAATAGTTTGCTTCTCTGTGGATTATGTATATTAGCCATGATTCCTTTTTCCTACTCTACCTAAAGGTATAGTCAAAATTCATGAAATACAAAAAGCAAAGGATTCGAAATCGGTCAAATATTCACAATCTCTTTCTTTCGACCAATTCCAACTGATTTTGAGATATGTATTTTGTGGGTGTGGGTGGGTGTGGGTGTGGGTATGGATGCGGGTGTGACTGGAATGTGGGTGTAGTAAAGAGAAGATACGCACACTCACACCTCACCCACTCACACCCATCCACATCCACGACCACACCAACCCACATCCACGACCACACCCACCCACACCCTATACGATGGTAGGGAGGGAGTTGAAAAAAATCAATAAGATAGGCAAATTGAAAAAAAATATATGCGTCATTACTTATATGACGATAGTTAATAATATGTGTATGTAAAGAAAAAAGAGAACGACCATGTATTAAAAGAATTGAATACTAAATGAGTCTCGAAAATATAATCTACGTAAAAATCTGTCTTGTTGAGATTGAAGTGCTTTCTCGAGTTGTATAAAATCTATAATGTATTCAATAAGCAAACATAACGATTGAGATATTTATTAGCAGACACTATCAAGTTCTGATATCAGTGTTGAGACCTTGTCTATTCTTCTAGAAAATTTAATGCCACGTAAAGAACTCTCATCAATCGAAGATTCAATTCATAATTAATGCACCAATTAAATCGATATTGTCCACACTATTGATTGAAAAACGATTCGGATACCCTCCATAAAAAACACATTAAATAAAATTTTAAAAAAATATATTTAAAATAAAAAATGAATAGATGGAGTCAAAGCAAGAATTAAATAAGAAAAAGAATATAGATTATAATAATTGAATGATTTCAATAGCAATCAACGCAACAAAACAATTACTAATAATTGTATATTGTATATATCGATATCGTTCGAGACCTTACTTAAATACGAAGACATTGATTCAAAAAAGATATTATTTCTAACGGAGATAAATGAAATGCCATTTATATCATTAATCAAATAAATAATTAGCTCAAATTGTGATGATTGTTAAGAAGTAAAAAACAAAAAAAAGAAATATATTGTGTTCTTTTATAATGAATGAAGCTCTCACTAAAACTACATTGATTTTCTATGTTATTCTCAAGAACGTGGAAATTAATGAATAAGAATTAACGTGAAACTATTAACTTTGGAAAAATTATGCTTTCAATAGTAACATCTCTTTCGAATGCCTTCCAGTAAAAAAGATCAATCTGTTTCGAATTTAGATTACGAGACAACTCTCAGTAAATTTCTACAGACACAATTGGGTAAAATAAATTTATAAATGATAAACACTCATATCGTTTCGTATTATTTGATTTGTGACGCAAATAAATTATATTTTGTTGTGTTTTTAAATAAAAGTTTAAAATGAATATTCAATATTTTCGAATAGCAACATTAAGTTTTTGGCTCTATCGAAACAATCAGTAATGCAAAATTTGCGACAATAGGTACTTGGATAGATCGGCTAGGATAATTCAAATACTTCACTTGATATGCCATTTAGTTTGTATTCTATATTGGAAGTTAACCAAATGCACTATTCTATTCAATTGTTGCATTGAAAAATCAAACAACGCTTTTATTTGGTTGTTGCACAAACTTTACTTTCGTTTGTTGAAAAAGTCTTTGTCAATTTCTTTGCCTTAAAACATATATTCTATGTGCGTAGTAGAGCAACAGTCACACTCGAGTATTTTTGTTAGTAGTCCAAGTGCTGAAATAGCATTTAATGGATTTAATCTATTAAAAAACGAACTTCGATCTTCTATGAGTGTGAAGAAATGAAAGAAGACAAGCTTTTTCTTTTTAGATAAATAATCCTAATCCGAGCATGAATATAGCGAAACAGTACTTTGTTGCTCATGATAACACAAACAAATAAACTCCAGCGACTTATTACCATAATTTTCTTCAGTTCTATATCTAGACGATATACGAAAAGTTTGTTTAGGATAATCAATAATTTCTCATTATCCCATTTAAAAAACGCAGAAGTATCATAATTAAAAAGCTTTGTTTTAACCAAAGAATAAATATGCAAACATAATTGTTTTTCGTTGATTTTCACACAAAAAAAGGCATTTCTTTTCAAGTCAAACATAATTATATTTTTAAAACTAATCGAAATACATACGAAATTTTCTATAGTGCGAAGATTGCTTTAATATGCTTTTTCGGAGAACTATTAATCGATTTTTTTCCCCTAACCATGTAGTCATTATTTTAATTTATCAGTTATTGAAGAGATAATTCCTTGATAAAATATATTCCTTTCTTATTATTCTAAAAAATCAAGACTTATGAAACAGAAAGACAAGAAAGTTTAAGGTAATTCTGATTGTTTAATACTTCTCTAATTGAAACACTTCCAACAGCGAATGGATGATCGATTTTAGATACTTGTGAGTCTTACTTTTTTATTAGGTTCTTTGTACCAATAATTTTATCGTCTAGTATTGGCCTTTTCTGAACATTTTAGATAAAAAAAAATATTTATTGTTTTTTTAATTTTTTGATTTTCATGTATATTTCAGTTTTCAAAATGTAACTCAGTTGATGATTTCTCGAAAACTAACAGAGAATCTTCTTAAATAATTTTCTACTGTTGATTTAAATTTTAAAGGAATTGAAATATATGAAAATTGAAAAAGTTAAAAATAATACTTTTGTCAAAATTTCTTTTTTAATATTTGCTGTTCATGGCTAATTGTATGCATTACTAGAATTAGCAAGTCATAGATCAGCTTAAGGGTTTGGGCAAATCCACAAATAAGAAGATAAGAATAATTGAAAGAATTAATGGTTTTAAAACTAATGTTTAAAATCAAATGTACATATGAAATCTGTCTAAGTCTGCATTTTATATGCAAAAGAACCCCACCGTTCAACTTCATACAAAGTATCCTAAATAGAGACTGATAAAAGTGGAATAACAGATAAGAAAAATTTGTCTTATAATAGTATGTTGAAAAATAATAAAAATATGTAACACTTGAAGTTTACTGATAAAATAATTTATAGAGAAAAGTAAGAATAAAAATTAAGGATGTCCTCCCTTAGAAAATTGAATTTTTCAAGGAAATATCGAAGTTGAGTTTTTATCATAGGAAGATGCAGCAAAGCTTTCTCCTTCAGAATATATATAGTTTTTTGGAAAATGAGCAGATTTTCAAAGACTTATCACATGAAACATTGACTCTACTAGCATATTTTCGGAAAAAATCCTGCAATTGTGCGTCAAATAGGGAATTTACCGATGAATGAGCAATGAATTTGAATAAAGATAGTGAGTAATTTTAGTTAGTTCTTCTATTTTTTTTTCGAATGATTCATACAAGTGAGGAATGCAAGCCAATCATCATATACTATTATAGATGGATACAAATGCAATCCTTTTTTTTCATACAATCACCAAATTCACTCTTCAATGAAACGATGAAGACATTTTTAAAGTTTCTAGACTCTTTAGTGTGCTAGTGTCAGTCGAGTGGCAATCATAAGCTTACCGATCGATTTTTAATAGAGCATTTGGTATCGTGTACCCAGATCAATTGTTCCGGTCGTTGGAAACGGCTTTTTTATGCCTACAACGAGCATGCTTACCGTCCAACACAGTATGATCAAGTAGAGTACCTCTTTAGATATTCCATTCGAATATTAATTGGAACTTATCATGCATTACTATGCAAGACATTTTACAGACAATATAGTGTTTTTGGTAATTTTCAGCCTCATCGATTCTGATATTGCTC